AGTGGGAACCTCCCAGAACATTGTATTGTGCCACGCCCAACAGAAATAACCCAGGTGGATAGCTTCAGCAATCAGGAGCTCCTCAGTTGCTCATAGAAAATCCCACCTTGGAGTTTATAAAGACTTATGGGTAGAAAAGCCACACTAAGTAATTTACTACACTGCAAGACCCAAAACACATCCCTGAGGAAGAAGCAGCATTGGAACTCCCTGATAAGGAATTCGTAAGAATTATATTTAGGTATCTTCAATGAATTGAGAGACAGATCAAGAAAAACACTGACAAAATTGAGGAAAGCACAGTGAAAACCCTACAACAATTTCAAAAGACAATACGAGAACAAAATTACAAAATAAATGAAAAATTAGAAATGATTCAAAATCTACACACAGAAATCCAGAAGATTAATACTAATTTTTCAGAAACAGGTAACACACTGAATGGGCAAAGGAGCAGAATTGAATCAATGGAAGACAGAATTAGCGAGATTGAAGGCAAATACCTCAACACTTCTGTGGAAAGGGATAAATCAGAAATAAGATCAAAACAAAATGAAGAAAGCCTAAGTGGGATACCATTAACAGGAATAACCTACATGTAATCGGAATTCCAGAACAGGAAGAGACAAATAAAACCACAGAGAAAATTGTTGAAGATTTGTTGGAAAAGAATTTTCCTGGTATGGTAAAAGATGAGAATATATCCATTCAAGGAGTCCAACAAAACCCAAACAGGATAGACCCCAAAAGAAAATCACCAAGACATATCATCATCAAACTCACCAAACCAAAGACAAAGAAAGAAACCTAAAAGCAGCACGGGGAAAAAAAAAAAAAGTTACTTAACAAGGGGCAACCAATAAGACAAAGCTTGGATTTCTTGACAGAAACCATGCAGGCAAGAAAACAATGGGAAGGTATATATAAAACCCTGAAAAAGAAAAATTTTCAACCAAGAATTACGTACTCAGCAAAATTGTCCCTCAAATATGATGGTGAAATTAGGACATTTCCAGATAAGCAGAAATTAAGGGAATTTGTTAAAAACAGATGTGATAGTTCAGTTTGTCTGTCAACTTGGCTGAGCCTGGTTGAGTGGCTGGGCACCTGGATGTAGTATTCCCCATGATGAGACTGGTAATCAACTCCATGGTGGAATCTACTAGGAGTAGTATTAGTTCGTTGTGGAGGGTCTAGGAAAGGTTTATATATGGAGGGAAACTTTGTTGGTTGCCAGAGGTGGAAAGGGAGGGGAGGGAACACTGAAAAAAAAAAATGCATTGACCCATGGGGAAAAAAAACCACAAGCAATGTTAGGGTTGTTTACAAACACAAAAAATTGAAACCAAACTAAAATTCCAACAGTAGGGGAATCAATTAAACTATGGAATATCCACATGATAGAATTCAAGTATCAGTTACAAATGACAATTAAACCCGAGTTCTACTTCTTAGCAGCTGAATAGCCTGGGGAAAGTTTATTAATCTCTCTGCATCTCAGTTTTCCTCTTTATAAAATGGGAGTATTGTGAGAATTAAATGAATTAGCATACTGAAAGCACTTAGGGCAGCACTGACACATAATAACACAATGAATTTTTTTTTAAACAAAAGGATACTATAGATCAATGTCCTAAAAAATGTTAATGATACAGCAAATGAACAAAAGGAGGCTACAAACTAGTATGTAGAGAATATTTTTATAAAATAATCTTATAAACACACATTGTTGTTGTTATGTGCCGTAGAGTCAGACCCGATTCATAGCGACCCCTCCTTGGGTCTCCGAGGCAGTATCACTATGGAAGTAGATTGTCCAACCTTCCTTCCGAGGAGTTGCTGGTGGGTTTGAACTGCCAGCCTTTTGGTTAGCAGTCAAGTGCCTTAGGCACTACGCTACCAGAGATCCTCTTTATATACACACACATTAGGGGAAAAAAAATAGTAGAAGGATTTGCATAAAAATAGAAATAGTATCTCCCTTTAGAAATAAAAAAATACCTTTGCCGACAAGTAGAGTCTGACTCATGGAGACCTCATGTGTGTGAGAGTGGAACTATGCTCTATGGAGTTTTCAGTGGCTGGTTTTTTGGAAGCCTTTCTTTTGAGCTGCCCCTGGAGGGATTCAAACCTTTCAGTTAGCAGTTGGGCACTTCTCCACTTGGGCCACCCCGAGACTCTCTTTGAATAATAGTATTATAGATTATTTTTAATTATTTCTGTTTGTCTCTATTTTTAAAATTTCCAACAAGAAATATGTATTACTTTTATGAAAGGTAAAAGGTATCATCTCTATTAAAATTAAGAACAGCAATGTAACTAAGAAAAGAATCAGAATTACACAGACATTTCTCTTTGTAGCCTTTATTACCATACAATATGAGCTCACAGCATCTATATTACAAACTTTATACACAAATGGCAAAAACAGTTAAGAGATTTTTCTCTCCAACAGCTAATTTATCCCAGTTTTCCCTCTTTATGTAGGAGGGATTAGACAGACTTGTGTAATACTGAGCCTTTCATTTTAAAAGGCTATGATTTCACAAAGGTGAAATTACCACTTGAAGAAAACAGGACACAGAACCAAGTCCTCACTGTCCTCCTTCCTGAGGGAAGGATGCCTGGTTGGTAGAGGGGAAGTGGGACATTCATTATGCCTTCTTTTTTGTAATAGGTGAGGACAGGGTGGACTGCTCCTCTTAGTCACATGAGCTCACATGAGCCTTTTGGGGTCTATCTTCTCTAGATGAACCAGGGGTTTCAGCTGCTCGGCAAAGTTCCTCATGTCATCAGAGACCATGTCCTGCCCAGCTGGTGCAACAACACTTAGTTCCACAAGATAGGACAGTGACAAGGCCTCAGTGCTGTCTGTGTTTCCTGGCACCAGGATGCGGAAAATCTTGTACACCATAATCTTCATGATGCCCTTACGGAACAAGTGTCCCTTGGCAACAAACTCATGGTCCATGCGGAAGCCCATTTCCATCAGGAAGTCAGTGAGGTTCTCAGACGTGGCAATGTCCACGCAGTTTCGCACCAGGGCATGGCGGTTCTTGTCTCCCATTTCTGGTTGCCCCAGGTAGCGCAAGTGCCAGGGTGCCCCTGTCCTATCCATAGAGCGCCGAGCCCTTAGAACAAATGGGCTGGCCTGCTGGCCCTTAAGGAGGAATACCATCTCATGGTCAAGGAAAGTCTCAGGTTCCATGTTGTCACACAAACCACGAAGGCGGTGGATAAGGCTTTCCAAGCTGTGATCTAAAACACTACCTGAACACAGAAAAAGCATTATTGACTCCCAGCCTTCATTCTGGGTCATAAAATTAGCACAAGTTTCAAAAGCTCTAAATGAAAGACCACAATAGTTTAGTGCACTGTTTTGTAAAGCAAAGGTCCAACATGTGAGAATTTAGGAGGTAGCATTGCACAATATTATGAGAAAGTTACTCCTTCGTCAGTTTGTTTATATTTTCTTATTTGATACTACAAAGTGTTCAGGCCCTCTCTATCACTTGTGAATCTCCTGCAGGCTTTGGGGCTCAAGGCCTTTAACAGGTAACAGTATCTAGCTAGAATGTAGTACTACTATCTTTTGTCATCTTACTTTAAATTTTTTCATCTCTTTCCAGAAAATTATGATTTGTCTTTTTTAGAAGAAATACAGTTTCCCTTTTATGTACTATATTAAGTAAAAGAGAATAAACTGCTTCAAAGAAAGGTATTAAGTAATTCTCAGTCTTCATTTTATTCATCTGCTTGGCTGCACTGGATACAGTTGTGACAGGTGATTATACTGACTTTGAAATCTTTTCTTCCTTTTGGGATCACAATTTTCTCCTGATTCATCACCTAACTCACTGACAGTTCTTTTTAAGTCCTCTTTGCTGGTTGTTCCTCACCTTCCCTAAATGGTGGAAGACCTAGAACTCAGACCTGCTCTCTTCTCCATCAACACACTCTCCCTCCCTAGGTGACCTAATTCCCATGGCTTTAAATATCATCTACATCCTGAAACTCCCACATTTATATCTCCAGAACCATGGACTCATACCTTTAACTATTCAATTTCTTTACTTGGATACCTAACAGATCCCTCCACCTTAACACGTTCAGTATCAAACTTACTATTTTCCTTAACTAACTCATTCCTCTTGCAATCTTACCCAACCTAGTAAATGACAATTCTTTGCTTCCAATTGCCTAGGTCAAGGTCCACAGAATCATCTTTGAATTCTTTTTGTTTTCCCACATCCCAATTGAATACATATTTCTGAAATAAATGCAGAATTCAACCACATCTCACTCATTTGATCACTTCCACCCAGACCAAATCTCCCTCATTTCTCACCTGGGCTTTGTAATAACCTGCTTCTACCCTTGCCTTTTTCCTCTCTTTTCCACACAACAGCCAAGTGTTCTTTTAAAAATATAAGGCAGATAAAGACATTCTGCTCAGAATCCTGCTTCCCATGCCATTCAGAATAAAATCCAAAGCCCATACCAAGTCAACAAGGCACTATGTATTATGCAGGTCTCCGCTACCTGTCCCACATCACCTCCTTCTACTCTCCCCCACAATCACTCTCTCTGGCTACAATGGCCTCCATGCTATTTCCTGAAGATAACAAGGTACACACCCTCTTCAGAGCTTCTTCCCTTATTCCCTCGGGTTAGAATGTTCCTCCTTCAGATATAGGCATGGCTCACCTTATCACTTTCTTCAGGTCTCTGCTCAACTGTCACTTTATCAGAGAAGTCTTTTTGGACTACCCTAAATAAAAAAAGCTTATCATCTAAATTTTTAGTTATCTTTCAGAGTGTCAATTATGCATTTATTTATTTATTTATTTATTTTAAGTCATCTTTCTTCTTCCACTGCTGATACTCCAATACTGGAAATATATTCAAATATTCAATAGTGTTATAGGAAAATCACCTCCCAACTCTAAATAATCATGGGATAGAAGATCCTTGGGAGCAGGGAATAATATCCTACATTTAGGGCCGTGTCAGACATGTGGTTGTTCACTTCTCAAGCATTTTAGGTTTGTAGTATGTGTTAGTTCACTGAACATATAGTTATTTAATGCTGTGCCAAGTACTGAGTTGGGAAGCCCTTCCTTCATGGAGATTCCACTTTAGTGCAGGAAATAAAAATAAGTAAACAAATACAAAGAAATTAAGAGGGCAGTAGTGGAGGGACAGGGAGGAGAAAAGGTTTCTTTGAGGGGGTTTAATGTTCAAAGAAGACCTCTTAGACTTCTCTATAAGGGGTGACAACTGAGCTGAGACCCAAAGGATGGAAATAAGATGGTCATTTGAAGAGCTTGGGGAAAAAGTATTCAGGGTAGAGCAGTCATCAAGTGCAAAGGTACCAAGGCAAAAAAGGGGCTGGTAAGCTTACCATGAATAACTCTCAAAAACACTATGCCAACTGAAAGAAGCTTTATACAAGAATACATGCATATGATTCCATTTATATATAAAGTTTTAAACAAGGAAAAGTATTCTATGGTGGGAAAAAATTGGAACAGTAGTTTCTTTATTGGGGAAGGGGTCAGGATGGGGTCTGACATGAAAGGAGCATGAAGGAACTTTCTTGGTGATGATAATGTACATATCTTGAGAAAGGGCTTAGGTTACACAGGTGAATGCATTTGTCAAAACTCCTGGAATGGTCCACCAAGATTTGTGCATTTCTTTATATGTAAATTTTACATATAAAGAAAATAATAAGAAGAAAAGAATGCATAGCCTTGAAACACTGGGGAAGAGCTGCTTCCTCAAAGTAGAGTCAACTTTAATGAAGCAGATGAAGTAAAGCCTTTGGAACCTCCATTTGCTGACAGGGCATGACTCAAAAGGGAAAGGAGCTGCCAACATCCATTAATAATTGGAACATGGAATGTAAGAAGTACCAATCTAGAAAAATTGGAAATTTTCAAAAATGAAACAGACACATGAAGATCGATATCCTAGGCATTAGTGAGCTGAAATAGACTGATATTGGCATATTTTGAATGAGATAGTCATATGATCTACTATGCCAGAAATGACAAATTGAAGAGGAACGGCGTGGCATTCATTGTTAAGAAGTATATTTCAAGATCTATCCTGAAGTACAATACTTTTAGTGATAGGAAAATATACATATGCCTACAAGGAAGACCAGTTAATACTAATACTTTCAAATTTACACACCAAACACTAAAGCCAAAAATGATGGAATTGAAGATTTTTACCAACTTCTGCAATCTGAAATTGATCAACCATGCAATCAAGAAGTATTGAGGATTACTGGTGATTGGAATGAGAAAGTTGGAAACAAAGAAGAATCACTGGTAGTTGGAAAGTAAGACCTTGGTGATAGAAATGATGTCAGAGATTGCATGATGTAATTTTGCAAGAACAATGACTTATTCATTGCAAATACATTTTTCCAACAAAATGAACAGTGGCTATACATTTGGACCTTACCAGATGGAATACACAGGAATCAGACTGACTTCATCTATGGAAAGAGATGATGGAGCTCAATATCTTCAGCCAAAACAAGGCAAGCAGCTGACTGTGGAACAGACCAACAACTGCTTATTGCAAGTTCAAGTTGAAGCTGAAGAAAATTTTAAAAAGTCCACGAGAGCCAAAATATGACATAGATTACATCCCACCTGAATTTAGAGATCATCTGAAGAACAGATATGCTACACTGAACACCAATGACCGAAAACCAGACAAGTTATGGGATGACATCAAGAATATCACACATGAAGATAGCAAAAAGAAAGACAGGAAAGGAAAAAACCAAAATGGATGTCAGAAGAGACTCTGAAACTTGCTCTTGAACAGAGAGTAGCTAAAGCAAATGGAAGAAATGACTAGATAAAAGAGCTAAACAAGATTTCAAAGGGCAGCTTGAGAAGACAAAGCAAAGAATTAGAATGAAATGTGCAAAGAGCTGGAGTTAGAAAAAAAAAAGAAGAGCATGCTCTGCATTTTTTAAGCTGAAAGAAGGAAAAATTCAGGCCTCAAGTTGCAATACTGAAGGATTCTATGGGCAAAATACTGAACAATGCAGAAAGCATCAAAAGAAGATGGAATGTTGTGTTCCTCACCCTACACAACTATGAGACCAGAAGAACTAGATGGTACCTGGCTACTACTGTCAATCACTCGGAGGGGGATCTATGTAGGAGATCCTGGATAGAGAGGGAGAACAATGTGGAACAAAACTCAAAATCATTTGGAAAAAAAAAAAGGGGGGGGGGATGAGGTTTGCTGGTCTGATAGAGCCTGGTGGAACCACTGAGACTACAGTCCCTAGCTGCCCTTCAGGTCACACCTGTGGCTTCCAGCAAAACAAAAGGCAGGTATAGGAGTTGAACATGTACCTGAGGTAAACACACTCCTTGGAGAGAACAATCATGGAAGAAAGAAGGGCTGTGTATGCACAGGGAGACAGCTCAGGGGGCAGGAGTGCATGGAGAGATGGACACAGGGAAGAGGTAACTATCAGGAGGAAGTGGGAGGGGAGCTGTTGTATTGTGGTAAATTGTAGTCAATGTCATGAGACAACATGTGTGTGAACTGCTATATGGAAAGTGAATTTTCTCTGTAAACTTTCACCCAAATCACAATTAAAAGAAGAAGAAGAAGAAGATGGAATGAATACACAGAGTCATTGTACAAAAAGAACTGATTGATGTTCAACTCTTTCAGAAGGTAGCATAATACTAAGAACCAAGGGTACTGAAAGAAGAAGTCCAAGCTGCACTGAAGGAATTGGTGAAAAACAAGGCTCCAGGAACTGATGGAATACTCATTGAAATGTTTCAGCAAACGATGCAGTACTGGAGGCACTTACTCGTCTATGACAAGAAATATGCAAGAAGCTACCTGGACAAATGACTGGAAGGGATCCATATTTGTACCCATTCCAAAGAAAGGTGACCTAACAGAATGTGGAAATTATCAAACATCATTAATATCACATGCAAGTAAAATTTTTCTGAAGACAATTCAAAAATGGTTGCAGCAGTATACTGACTTCCAGAAATTTAAGCTGGATTCAGAAGAGGACATAGAACAAGTGATATCACTGCTTATGTTAGATGGATCTTGGCTGAAAGCAAAGAATACCAGAAAGATGTTTACTTGTGTTTTATTGAGTAGTCAAGGCATTTGACTGTGTGGATTCTAACAAATTTTAGATAACACTGCAAAGAAAGGGAATTTCAGAATACTAAATTGTTCTCATGGTGAACCTGTGCATAGACAAATAGGCTGCTATTTGAACAAACAAGGGAATATTGCATGGTTTAAAATCAGGAAGGGTGTGCATCAAGGTTGTATCCTTTCACCATAGTTATTCAATCTGTATGCTGAGAAAATAATCTGAAAACCCAGACTGTACGAAGAATGTGACATCAGGATTGGAGGAAGACTCATTAACAACCTATGATGTGCAGATGACACAACCTTTCTTGCAGAAATTGAAGATGACTCGAAACACTTACTGATGAAGATCAATGACGAGTCTTCAGTATAGACTATAGTCTTCATAAAGAAAACAAAAATCCTCACAACTGGACCAATAAGCAACATCAGGATAAATGGAGAAAGACTAAAGTAACCAGGGATTTCCATCTACTTGGATTCACAATCAACACCAATGGAAGCAGCAGTCAAGAAATCAGATGACGTATTGCACTGGGCAAATCTGCTTCAAAAGGCCTTTTTAAAGTGTTAAGCAAAGGTGTCTCTTTGAAGACTAAGGTGTGCCTAACCTAAACCATGGTCTTTTCAATTGTCTCATATGCACTGAAAGCTGAACAATGAATAAGAAAGACCGAAGAGTTGAAGCCTTTGAATTGTGATGCTGGCACAGAATATGGAAAATACCATGGACTATCAGAAGAGCAAACAAATCTCTCCTGGAAGAAGTGCAGCCAGAATATTCCTTGGAAACAAGAATTGCCAGACTTCACCTCACCTACTTTGGTCATATTGTTCAGAAGGGTCCAATCCTGGAGGAGGGTATCATTCTTGGTAAGGTGGAGGCTCAGCAAAAAAACAGGAAGACCCCCAACAACATGGACTTACATAGTGGCTGCAATGGTGGGCTTAACTATAGCAAGGATTGTGAGGATGGCATACAACTGGACAGTGTTTTGTTCTGCTGTACAGAGGGTCAGTATGAGTAAGAGTCAACTCAACAGCACCTAACAACAATACTGAGGTCTTCAACTGACATTGTAATGCATCAAAAAATTAAGATGGTTTGATTGGATGGATGGACAGACATGTAATAAAGCAAATATAGTAAAATGAAAATTGTAGCATATAGGTATCAAATGTGGACATTCACTATAAAATTCTTTCAAATTTTCTCTATGTTATGGATTAAATCGTGTCCTATGCAAATATGTGTTAAAATCCTAACCCTAGTCCTTGTAATCCTGACCATTATCCTAATTGGAAACTGTTTTTTTTCTTTTAAGTTAATGAAATCATAGGAGAGTAGGGGTATCCTAAATCCAATACTTTCTAAGTTATAGAACTGGGCAGAATAGGCACAGAGATCCACATAGGGAGAAGATAAATGACACGTAAGGACAAGTCGTCAAACAAAGGAATGCCAAGGATCAACAGCAGACACCAGAGACTAGAAGAATAGCTCACTAAAGGAATCAACACAGCTGAGGCCCTGATACGGACTTTTAGCTTCCAGAACTGTGAGAAAATAAATTTCTGTTCTTTGATGGCATCTGCAGATAACTAAGGCACTAAACGTTTTATATTTTCCATAATAAAATGCTGGGGGAAAAATAGTTGTTTTCAATCAAGTGTTAGAAATTACATAGGATGGCTTTGTATAACAGTTGCTCATCCCCAGGGAAGCCGAAAAGAAAAGAGGAAGAAAGGTATTCCAAGTTACCTGGTTCACTTACCTTGAAGCAGGTACTCCATCATGTTAATGGTGCCCCCAGTGACAGGCATCATGGTGACTGGAGGTGCCTCCATGCTGTCTGTCTGATTAAGCTGAAGACAACAGAAGTGGACTCAGAGCCCCCAAACAAGGTAAGGGACAGGATACACCTCGAGAAGAGTTAGACTTGTTTAAACATCAAGAGAGGTGGAAAGACTGGCTTGTGTCACTGGAATGGACATCAAAAGATCCATCCATTCATTAAAAACTTTTAAAGTAACTGCTATATGACCAAGTAATTCTCCAGGAACTGATGATACAGACATATATAAAAGAGATCTGATCATGGAATTATAGCATAGCATTCTAGAGTCAAGTTCTCAATTCTCCAAAAGGTATCTGTTTAATTTTGAGGAGTCTCACCCTGAAACTCAATATTTTCCTTACTAAATGAGGTGATCAATATCTAATTCCCAAGACTTTGTGGTTCGAATGACATAAGGAAGATCCAATAAAATTCTGAGGAACTGAAAAGTGACTTCAGAGTCCTTGTCTGTATTTTATTTTAAAAAGTCAGGGCAAGTTAGTGGCAGAGGCCTGACCAGACAAGAATCTAGGATCTGCCTCTCTTAACACTGAAAGCACCTTTTAAAACAAGACAGAACAGTGAAATTCTCTTAAGACGATGGTTTAGTTTAAACTCCTAAATCTACTTCCCGGGCACGCGAACGCTTACACCGAAAACTCACCTCTGCAGGAGCTCTTCCTCTTCTCGCAAAGCTGGGTATTATTTCCACTCGCGCACAATGCAGCCTTTAAAATTTAGCGCCAATTAGAACCTAGCTCTCAGGTTACCTAAGTTCCGCAAATTCACCGATGAGCGTAATAACACCATCGCCTCCTCTTCCCACTTCCGGCAGGACGGCGGACGTCGCGCAAACCTTGACACAACCGCCTCACGTCATACGGGTGCCGAGAAGTCAAGAAATCTTCCTCTTTGCTGCCCGGCAAACTGAAGAGCCTGCGCAGATGTGTTCTGTTGTATGGAAGATGGCAGTCTTTAGCACGTTCCAGTGGCAAATGTCAGGCGCCTTGACGTCATAATCTGTCCTCTGGAAAAATATTTATTTTTTTCAAGTTCGACGACCTAGAGATGTTTTCGTGTAGGAAATCTCTTGGAACTGATAGGATTGAGAAAGATTATGCCTAAACTTTGTACTCATAGCAGCTCTTCCTAGGGGGAAAAGAGGAGGGTAGCAAGGGAGAAAGTTACAAAATAAAACAAAGACCTCTGTTGTGTTCTTGAAGGTGAAAAAGGGAAGACGCCTTATACTGCACATTCAGGGAGCTCAGTAACACACTTAATATTCGTTCACTTTACTGAGTATAAAACCAAACTCACTGCTGTCAAGTGATCCCCACTCATAGTGAACTCTCCTTGGGTTTTCGAGGTGGTATCACTACGGAAGTAGATTTCCCAACCTTCCTTCTGAGGAGTGGCTGGTGGGTTTGAACCCCCAGCCTTCTGGTTACCAGTCAAATGCTTTAGGCACTATGACACCTGCTGTTATTACACTTTATCTCTCTCATTTGAGAAAATATTGTCTTAAATATTTTGTGCATGTCTCATATATTTGACTATATTATAAACATCTTGAAGGTAGACATCATGTTTTCTTTATACATGTGCTTTACATGTAGTAGATGCTCAAAAATTATATTGAACATATTCTAATAGTTACTATTTTACATATGTATAAATCTGCCAAATATTACTAGAAAGTCCATGTTATCATGTTTACTTTACAGATGAGGAAAAAGAAGTTTAAAGAGGTAAAGTGATTTGTCCAAGGTCACACAACCAGTGAATGACAGAACTCAAATTTAAATTCACTTCTCTCTGACACTAAGCCTATCTCTTTATCATGCTGCCTTCTGAATTCATAGGCTCTTTGCCATAGTAAATTTCCCAGTTATTCCAGTTAGTGGCAGCAAAGGAGAATTTACATACATTAATATTTTCAACCATTAATGTTTCTCAGTGAAGCACTAGACTGAGTTTAAGAGAGTAGGAGCACTTATTGGCTAGCCTTCATCGGGATAGCAGACTACCAACGTGGATTGCAATTCATGCATACACATTTTCTTTATCAGTTTTCTAGAAAGGTCCAATGGGAATTAAGAGAGCTGGTGATGGTCAGGGAGCTTGCCATCTAGTGTATTCTAACCAGGGCTTTGAACCAGTTCAGTCATGGCCAACACAGTGAAACTGGAACAGACCTGAATTTGTAAAATGTGGGTGTACTAGAATGATAACCAGAATGGGAAAAATCACAGGTCAAAGACCTGGGATGGAAGACTTGGAAGAGGCATAATGAGCCCTTTCAGTGGTCTGATGTAGGAGACTCGATTATTACCAGGACTGTGGAGAGAAACACACATTGAAAGCAGAGCAAGAAGCCACTATCTCTGAGCAAGGCACCATTTTTTCTGACTCTGTCGGTCAAGATATTTGGTTGCTATGCAAATGCATGATGCACTCATTTTCTAAGAGAGAGATTACATTTCTAGCAGGATGTTGACCAGTATTTTTTTTTTTTTTTCCCATTCTGGTTATCATACTGATATACCCACATTTTACAAATTTGTGTCGATTTCAGTTTGCCTATGTCAGTCATGACTGAACTGGGAAGAACTGGTTGGAAGCCCTGGTTCCAACTCATGGCAACCCCAACTGTGCCGAGTAGAACTGCTTCACAGGATTTTGAAGGCTGTGACCTTCCAGAAGCAGATCACCAGGCCTGTCTCAGAAGGGCTTCTGGATGGGTTCACACTTCTAGATGGGTTCACACTTCTAGTTGTTGCTGTTGTTTCATGTCATCGAGTCAATTCTGACTCAAAGTGACCCTATAAGGCAGAGTACAGCTACCCCATAGGGTTTCCTAGGTTGTAATGTTTAAGGAAGCAGATCAAGTCTTTTCTCCCATGGAACAGCTGGTGGGTTTGAACTACTGACCTTTTGGTTAGAAGCCAACTGTTTGCACCACCCAGGGATTCCTAAGATAGATCTGCTCCTCTCTCTCTCTCTTTTTTTTTTTTTAATTTTATTTTGATTTGGGTGAAGATTTACAGAGTAAATTCACTTTTCATACAGCAGTTCACATATACTTTGTCTCATGTCATTGACCAAAATTTACAATGCAACAGCTCCCCTCCCACTTCCTCCCCATAGTTGCCTCTTCCCAGTGTCCATCCCTCCATACTTTCCTGCCCCCTGAGCTGTCTCCCTGTGCAAAAGCAGCCCTTCCTTCTCCCATGATTGTTCTCTCCAGGGCATGTGTCTACTTGAGGTAAATGTTTAACTCACATGCCTGTACTTTGTTTGGCTGGAAACCACAGGTGTGGGTTCAATTCCAGACCTGAAGGGCAGCTAGGGGCCATAGTCTCAGTGGTTCCACCAGGCTCTATTGGACCAGCAAATCTGGTCCCCACCTTTTTTTTTTGCCTCCAAATGATTTTGAGTTTTGTTCCACATTGTTCTCCCTCTCTATGCAGGATCTCCTACATCCCTTCCAAGTGGATGACAGTGGTAGCCGGGCACCATCTAGTTCTTCTGGTCTCATACTTGTATAGGTTGCAAGATCTGCTCCTCTATTATACACAATGGTATGCTTTCAGATGTTTTCTTCAGTGTTAAAAACTAGTGCTTTCCCAGGAATGCTTTGACAATTATTGACTGTTTCCTATATACATAGTCTGTGGGAAAGATATGATTATTATTTTCAACCTAATTATCTCCAGCACTGTCATCAGTTCATGTCATTCCTCCACTCAGAGTAAAAGCCAAAGTGCTAATTATGCCTACACGATCTGCCCCATTCTTGTTCCCTCTCAGACTGTATACTCGATCATTCCTCTACCTTGTCAGCTCAGTTCCAGCCACACCGGTCTCATTACTCTTACTTGAACATGTCAAGGATACTCCCATCTCAAGTCCTTTGCATTTGTTATAGTCTGTCTGGAACTCTCCTTCTCCACTGCAGGGACCACTTCTTTGCTGCTTTACTTCCTTTTGGTCTCCGCTCAAATCTGCCTGTATTCCAGAGGGCTTCCTAACCAGAAATTTAAAATTGCAATTCACTATTTGTTCTGCCTCCTATACACTGCTATATTTTCTTCATAGTACATTTGACCAGGTATCACGTTACTTATTCATACTTTATTTGTTTATTGCCTTTTTCCTCCCATTAAAATCATAAGCTCCATGAAGACAGGGATGTTGTTTCCATTCAGTGCGATATGCCCAGATCCTGGAATGATACTTGGCCCATTGGAGGCACTCAATGGATACTGTATTTGTTAATAAAGTGACTGGTATAGGACAGAGGTTGACAGAGGGATTAATATATGATTTTCTTAGTCTCATATATTTAGTTAACACTGGATTCAAGGGGAGAGACTGAGTCCTTAAATTCTAAGCTGGGATACTCCTCCTTTCGTGGGTACCATCCAGGATTGTAGCCATTAACCATGTGTAGGCATTAGCCACTTGAAATGTAGTGTATATTTTAAAGATATACGTGTAAAATACGAACTGTATTTTGAAGACTTAGCACAAAATAAAAAGAATGGAAAACACCTCATAAATAATTTTTTGTATTTATCACACATTGAAGCAATATTTTGGGGGTTAAATCAAATATATTATTGAATTTAATTTCACCTGTTTCTTTTTACTTTTTCTTTTTAGTGTGGCCACTAAACCAGAAAAATCGTTTGCCATTGAACTGACTCTAACTCACATTGACCCCATGTGTGTCAGAGCAGAACTGAGCTCCAGAGGGTACTTCTTTGGAAGTAGATCGCCAGGCCTTCCTTTTGTGGTGCCTCTGGGTGGATTTTCACCTTCATCCTTTTAGTTACCTACTGAACAGTTAACCATTTGTACCACCTAGGGTGGCTACCAGAGCATTTAAAATTATATGTGTGGCTCTCATTATATTTCTACTGGACAACTCTACTTTAGGATCTAAATTTGGAAGTGTGGCTTTAGAGGCAGACAGACCTGAGTTTGAATCCTGGCCCCTGCTTGCATGGCCCTAGGCAGGTTATTTTACCTCTTAGGCTTCAGCAGTGCCTGGCACTTACGGTATGTTGTGGGTATGCAATGAGT